GACTAGACTATAGACTGGACTCTAATTTTAAGCAATTTTGAAGGCATTTGTTAATACGAAGCATACGATTCAATAAATTTATTATACCACCCATATATAGTACAATAATTTTACTAATTTATAAATAATTTATATTAAAATAAAATAACAAAAAATGTTCTTAATTAAATAATGCATATAATTATAACTGTGTTTCTCATGATGGCTATATTAATCAGAGTCCTGCTGATTAGATCATCTAAAGCTAAATTAAAAAGTTATTGATCTCTTACAGATAAATGAACTTAAGTAAACTTTAAAATAATTATTATTCACTGAGCTTTTATTTCATATATTTAAAAAAGTTATGAACTAACAATTTTCGAAAAGAGAACTATTTGAATGTTAGGCAAACGTTAAAAGTTATCGATTTTTTTCAAGGTTAAAAATTTTCCAATTTCTATATTACTTTAAATCTTATCACAAATACTCTCATTAAAAGGCATTTGAAAAATAGACTTAAATAAAAAATTAATCTAATTCTATGTAAAGATAAGCATATATTGAAGAATTTCCAACTGTCCATATGGTTATCATCGAATCCTAGACCTAGTTTCTTAACAAGTTATAAACTTATAGACAAATTTGTTAAAATTACTAATATTTAGATATTTAATTAATAAGTTCATGAAACAACTTGTATAAAAATACAATTGTTCAATTCACAAGCTTTGTCTTATCGTTGTATGTCATACATATTTTTCAAATAAAACAACGATTGTGAATTGGACAAATATTTTGAATTTTAATAATTATCGTTATTAATTGTTACAAAAAATAATAATTAATTTAATAATAGTGTGCAAACGTGCTTTTTTGCAGAAGCAACAAAAACAACAAAGTAAAGTGATTGATTCAACTTGTTGATATGGAAGATTTCTAATGAATTTGAAAATGTCTCAGTATTTTCTTAAAAAATTAAAAAGGCAAAGGTGAAAACAGTTCAGACTTGAAAGATTTTTAGATGAGTCGCGTTGGGAAGCTTCGAAATTTGTTTATTGTCTGCAGTAAGGGTCTTACAGAGGACATAAACTTACTAACCAGAATAGATTAGGCTATAGACTAGATTATTGACAAGACTATTGACAAGACTATAGACTGGACTATAGACTAGACTATAGACTAGACTATAGACTAGACTATAGACTAGACTATAGACTAGACTATAGACTAGACTGTAGACTAGACTGTAGACTAGACTATAGACTAGACTATAGACTAGACTACAGACTAGACTATAGACTAGACTATAGACTAGACTATAGACTAGACTATAGACTAGACTATAGACTAGACTATAGACTAGACTATAGACTAGACTATAGACTAGACTATAGACTAGAATATAGACTAGACTAGAATATAGACTAGACTAGAATATAGACTAGACTATAGACTAGACTAGAATATAGACTAGACTAGAATATAGACTAGACTAGACTATAGACTAGACTATAGACTAGACTATAGACTAGACTATAGACTAGACTATAGACTAGACTATAGACTAGACTATAGACTAGACTATAGACTAGACTATAGACTAGACTATAGACTAGACTATAGACTAGACTATAGACTAGACTATAGACTAGACTATAGACTAGACTATAGACTAGACTATAGACTAGACTATAGACTAGACTATAGACTAGACTATAGACTAGACTATAGACTAGACTATAGACTAGACTATAGACTAGACTATAGACTAGACTAGACTAGACTAGACTAGACTAGACTATAGACTAGACTATAGACTAGACTATAGACTAGACTATAGACTAGACTATAGACTAGACTATAGACTAGACTATAGACTAGACTATAGACTAGACTATAGACTAGACTATAGACTAGACTATAGACTAGACTATAGACTAACTATAGACTATAGACTAGACTATAGACTAGACTATAGACTAGCTAGACTATAGACTAGACTATAGACTAGACTATAGACTAGACTATAGACTACTAGACTAGACTATAGACTAGACTATAGACTAGACTATAGACTAGACTATAGACTAGACTATAGACTAGACTATAGACTAGACTATAGACTAGACTATAGACTAGACTATAGACTAGACTATAGACTAGACTATAGACTAGACTATAGACTAGACTATAGACTAGACTATAGACTAGACTATAGACTAGACTATAGACTAGACTATAGACTATAGCTAGACTATAGCCTAGACTATAGACTAGACTATAGACTAGACATAGATAAGTACTATAGACTAGACTATAGACTAGACTATAGACTAGACTATAGACTAGACTATAGACTAGACTATAGACTAGACTATAGACTAGACTATAGACTAGACTATAGACTAGACTATAGACTAGACTATAGACTAGACTATAGACTAGACTATAGACTAGACTATAGACTAGACTATAGACTAGACTATAGACTAGACCATAGACTAGACTATAGACTAGACTATAGACTAGACTATAGACTAGACTATAGACTAGACTATAGACTAGACTATAGACTAGACTATAGACTAGACTATAGACTAGACTATAGACTAGACTATAGACTAGACTATAGACTAGACTATAGACTAGACTATAGACTAGACTATAGACTAGACTATAGACTAGACTATAGACTAGACTATAGACTAGACTATAGACTAGACTATAGACTAGACTATAGACTAGACTATAGACTAGACTATAGACTAGACTATAGACTAGACTATAGACTAGACTATAGACTAGACTATAGACTAGACTAAAGACTAGACTATAGACTAGACTATAGACTAGACTATAGACTAGACTATAGACTAGACTATAGACTAGACTATAGACTAGACTATAGACTAGACTATAGACTAGACTATAGACTAGACTATAGACTAGACTATAGACTAGACTATAGACTAGACTATAGACTAGACTATAGACTAGACTATAGACTAGACTATAGACTAGACTATAGACTAGACTATAGACTAGACTATAGACTAGACTATAGACTAGACTATAGACTAGACTATAGACTAGACTATAGACTAGACTATAGACTAGACTATAGACTAGACTATAGACTAGACTATAGACTAGACTATAGACTAGACTATAGACTAGACTATAGACTAGACTATAGACTAGACTATACTAGACTATAGACTAGACTATAGACTAGACTATAGACTAGACTATAGACTAGACTATAGACTAGACTATAGACTAGACTATAGACTAGACTATAGACTAGACTATAGACTAGACTATAGACTAGACTATAGACTAGACCATAGACTAGACTATAGACTAGACTATAGACTATAGACTAGACTATAGACTATAGACTAGACTATAGACTAGACTAGACTATAGACTAGACTATAGACTAGACTATAGACTAGACTATAGACTAGACTATAGACTAGACTATAGACTAGACTATAGACTAGACTATAGACTAGACTATAGACTAGACTATAGACTAGACTATAGACTAGACTATAGACTAGACTATAGACTAGACTATAGACTAGACTATAGACTAGACTATAGACTAGACTATAGACTAGACTATAGACTAGACTATAGACTAGACTATAGACTAGACTATAGACTAGACTATAGACTAGACTATAGACTAGACTATAGACTAGACTATAGACTAGACTATAGACTAGACTATAGACTAGACTATAGACTAGACTATAGACTAGACTATAGACTAGACTATAGACTAGACTATAGACTAGACTATAGACTAGACTATAGACTAGACTATAGACTAGACTATAGACTAGAGTAGAGACTAGACTAGACTATAGACTATAGACTAGACTAGACTATAGCCTAGACTATAGACTAGACTAGACTAGACTAGACTAGACTAGACTAGACTAGACTATAGACTATAGACTAGACTATAGACTAGACTATAGACTATAGACTATAGACTATAGACTAGACTAGACTATAGACTATAGACTATAGACTATAGACTATAGACTATAGACTATAGACTATAGACTATAGACTATAGACTATAGACTAGACTAGACTATAGACTAGACTAGACTATAGACTAGACTAGACTATAGACTAGACTAGACTATAGACTAGACTAGACTATAGACTAGACTAGACTATAGACTAAACTAGACTATAGACTAGACTATAGACTAGACTATAGACTAGACTATAGACTAGACTATAGACTAGACTATAGACTAGACTATAGATTAGACTATAGACTAGACTATATATTATACCATAGACTAGACTATATATTATACCATAAGCTAGGCTATAGAATATACTATAGATTAAACTATAGACCAGACTATAGACTGAACTATAGACCGTTCAAAGTTTGTTCTACTGACACTCAACTTTCATGTACATTTTGCCTCAATCAATATGCCATCATTGGATTATTTCACATTAAATTTATAAATGAATACATTTTATGTAAATAATCATATATTTTGCAGTCCTTGAATAATAAAATTTCAAATAAAATACAAATCGCATGATGTGTCATGGCTCTATCAACATTAATACTTATTTATCCTAAAGAAAAATATGACAAAACTCGTTTGAAAAATATTACATTTATAACATAACAATGAGTTCATTTTCCTAAATGATGAAATAAATATTTGATTGAATAATATGTAAAATATGAAACGATAAAAGTCAGCTAAAATCCTCTAGACAATAGTTTGATAAATTGAGTTTGAAGCCATTCAGTTATTTTGAAAGAAGAAGATTAGTTGTATTAATAAAATTTTGTAAAAGCAATTAAAGAAATTGGTTGCTGTAACAAAAATTTGTAGTGTTATGGGTAATTTTTTGTAAATAGTTTAAAATGGATTTCAAACTTTGTTGTTAGACTTGATTTAAGATTTAACTGGTATTGTCCCTATAATTTAATAATTTTTCTTTCTTCTTTTTATTATTTTTAGTCTTTTCGAACAAGAGATTATGAGCTATGTGCCCATAGAAGAACGCAGTCCTCAGGGTTCACCCATTTTGAATTCACGCATGCTACAGCGTGCTCCACCACCATTTCGACGTGATTTCGAAGCGAAATTAAGATGTTTCTATAGGAAATTGGAGTCCAAGGGTTATGGTCAAGGACCACATAAATTAAAGTGAGTTATAGGAAGTCTATTTTAAATTAAAATTTATTTGAAATTAAATTAATCTTCCATAGATTACAAATACGTCGTACACATTTGCTGGAAGATGCATTTCGTCGTATTATGTCAGCCAATAAAAAAGACTTACAGAGAGGCCGTTTGGCCGTCTTATGGGACACCGAAGAGGGTCTCGATTATGGAGGACCATCTAGGTGAGTTTCAATAAAGATTTTTAAATAATATCAAGTAAAAATTTAATTATTTTAATTATGTGTATTAAATGTTATTTGTTTTTTTTTCTTTTTATTTAGAGAATTTTTCTTTTTATTATCGCGTGAACTATTCAATCCCTATTATGGACTCTTTGAATATTCCGCCAATGATACATACACCGTACAAGTTTCACCGTTATCGGCCTTCGTTGACAACTGTCACGATTGGTTCCGTTTTAGTGGTCGTGTCTTAGGTCTGGCCTTAGTCCATCAATATCTATTGGATGCATTTTTCACGCGGCCATTTTACAAAGCTTTATTAAGACTTCCCGTAGCTTTAAGTGATTTAGAATCTTTAGACAATGAATTTCATCAGTCATTACAATGGATACGTGATAATGACATTGGAACCGGCATAGACTTGGGCTTAACATTCTGTGTAACAGAAGAGCTATTGGGTCGTGTGGTGGAGAGAGAACTTAAGCCGGGTGGCAAGAATATAATAGTCAATGAGAAGAATAAAAAAGAATATCTCGAACGCATGATTAAATGGCGTTTGGAGCGTGGTGTGCAAGAACAAACGGAATCTTTAGTACGTGGCTTCTATGAAGTTGTTGATTCGCGTTTGGTTTCGGTATTCGATGCCCGTGAATTGGAATTGGTTATAGCTGGTACGGCTGAAATAGATATTAACGATTGGCGTTTAAACACCGAATATCGTTCCGGCTATCATGATAATCATCAGGTTATCATATGGTTTTGGCAAGTTATAGAGAAATTTACCAATGAACAGCGATTACGTCTCTTGCAGTTTGTCACCGGCACCTCTAGTATACCCTATGAGGGTTTCTCAGCCCTCAGAGGTTCCACCGGACCCCGGAGATTTTGCATTGAAAAATGGGGTAAACCGAATGCTTTGCCCAGAGCTCATACCTGTTTTAATCGTTTAGACTTACCACCATATCCAACACCGGAATTACTCTATGAAAAATTATTATTGGCTGTCGAAGAAACAAATACTTTTGGTATCGAGTAAGTTAACGTTAAAAAAAAAAAAGTTACAAAAAGAAAGAAAAATTAATAATACTTGTTACAAAATTTGGCTTTTTATTTAAATTTTCATTCACAACATTCTTATAAATCTGTTGTTTAATGAATTATAAACGTTAGAGTTTCGTTAAGTGAAGAAAAACAAAACGTGATATTTTAAAAATGTCCTTTATTTATAATATAAATTTAAAACCATAACTATATATGTGTGTAGCTGTATTTTTTGACAAATTTTATTTATTTTTATATTTTCTATTATTTATTTGAATAGTTTATTTTAAATTGTAGTATTTCCTTAACCTAGTTGTAGTGTCTAATTGTTGAACTAGTAGTTTGATTTCTATTCAATTTTGCCAGTATATGATTTTATTTATTTACCATACATTTTTTTTATATTATTTTAAACAAAATCTCGATTTGCATTTGAAACTTAAAATGAAATGGAAATTTGACCGATTTGACTATCATTGCAAACTTGTTTTTAACATATTCATAAAGCAAAATTAGTTTTTTATAGCAAACTGCCCTTGTAAATCTTGCAAATACACAAATTATAAATGCAATTTAACACAATGAGCAAATGTACAATTAACTTTTTATAGTAAACTACCCTTGCAAACCTTGCAAAACACTAATAAAAAATGTTTTTGTATAAGATTTAAAGCTCTTAATGAAATTTGCAATACTGAGAGCCATTGCAAAGTTACATTACATTGTTAAAATCCTCTTTTAAACCTTGCAAAATGTAGCAATTCTAGAAAAAATAATTGTGTTAAAGACGAATAAATGATATAATACTTTACACCATTGCAAAATTATTTTTTAAACAATTTCCTTTGCAAGTGCAGCAATTTTTACAAATAATAAATGAGATTTAATGCAATTAACAATTTTGCAATACTTTTGCAATCTTGTAAATCCAAAATTTTTTACAAAAACAAAGTTTTTACATTAGATTTAATGTAATAAACAAATTTGCAACCCTGAAAACATAACTACCCTTGCAAAGCTTGTAAATGTAGCAATTCTTGCTACAAAGTTTATCCACGAGATTTAATATAATACACAAATTTGCAAGACTTAAAAATGTATATTTGATAGCGCAATTTACATAGAAAACTACCATTGCAAACCTTGCAAATGAAGCAATTTTTAAAGAAAATAAGGTTGATACAAGTTATTTTATACAACAGAAGATTTTATCATATTTGCAAGATTGAAAGCCATTGCAAAGTTTTACTTAATTGTAAAAATACTCTTGTAAAGCTTGCAAATGTTGCAGCTCTAGCAAAATAAATTCAATGATTTAATGCAATTTCGCGAATTTGCAAGACCATTGCAAAAGTATTTTTAAACTATTGCAACTATCCTTGTAAACCTTGTAAAGGCAGCAATATGTATAAAATCAAAGATTGTACATGAGATTTAATTTAATAAAAAATTTTGCAAACCATTGCAAACGTATTTTTTAAAGCGGAATTCAACCTTCTTGCTGACCCTGGAAATGCACAAAAACAAAGTTGATACAAAAGATTTAATGTAATAAACCACTTTGCAAGACCATCGAAACCATATTTTTTATAGCGGAATTTGTTTTCAAAGCATACTACCCTTGCAAACTTTGAAAATGCAACAGTTATTGTAAAAACGATTGAAACGCTTCAAAATTACAGTTTTATGAGAGATTTAAGACACTTTACAAGCTCTTGTAAATGTTTTTTTTAACAATAGTTATAGCGCAATCAACTATTGATTATAAACAACCCTTGTAAACATTACAAATGCTGTAATTCTAGCAAAAAAGTTTGAAGAGTTTGCATATGGGATAATTAGCTTTGCAAATGTATAAAAACCCCATTGCAAACCTGGTAAACAAAATTTTATATGTGATCAATACAACAAAGCTTATTTGCAAGACTGAAAAAATACCGCAAATACATTTACAAAAAGTATTTGGTGGAGTTAAATTTTCATAGCAAACTGCCCTTGCAAATGCAGCAAATCTATGAAGAAATGAATAAAACTCCACAACAATGTTTGCAAATGTGATTTAATGCTGTTGAGCATATTTGCAACACTTATCAAACTATCCCAGCAAATATGTACATAAATCTAACAATTTACAAGGCCAAAAGCCATTGCAAGGTGATATTGAGAACAGCTTAAACTTAAAAACACCCCCCTGTTTTGGTCTTGCAAACTGACAGTTTTTGCAGTATTTGTTTTAACTGTAAAGTTTGAATAATACAATTGAAAAAATTGCAAGACTAAAAACCAGTGTTAAGTCATTCTTAAAGATGCAACACCACTTTGATCTTGCAAATTGCAAATTTTTGCACGATTTCTTGTGTAGTTTTGTGTAGATTTGTTTACTATTTGCGACATGTAAAACCATTGCCAAGTGAACTAGAGAGCAGTTTAAACTTGGAAACACAAATCTGTTTTGGTCTTGTAATTGTAAATTTGCTAGATTAAGAGTCCAGGCAAAGAGAGTCATAAATATAGATAACATACTGCTCTTGCAAATGTAGTAATTCTAAGAAAATATTTTGTAACACCACAAAAATATCTAGTAAACCTTTGCAAAGTTTCTTGAGAACAGTTTAAACTTGAAAATACGTTTGGTCTTGCAGAAGTGTTTTTACTAGATCTTTTATTCTATAAAAAGTTCAAAGTACTCTTGCAAATATACTACGAGTAAATATTTTCAGCTATTTTATACAAGTTTTTGTTATTTGTATAAAGTAGAACTTGTACAAATTGCAAAATTAATTTCAGAATAAGTTTTTTTTCTTCCAATTACAAATTGTTTCAAATCGAGATTTTGTTTTTATTTTTCTTTAAAGATTTTATATTCTTGTCTTTTTAGTCATTAGAGTCTAAGTGATAGATATATTTTTTACTAACTTTATTCCTTTTAAAAATCAATAACAAAAGAAAATAATTTTATGGTCCATAGTTACTCTTGAAAAGATGATAAAAATAAACTGCAATGTTTTCAAAATCAAAAAAATTTTATAAAATTTTTCTTTAAACTTAATAATTTATGGAAAATCCTGCAAACCAGCCTTTAATAATAATAATTTATTAAAGGTTTATAAAACAATATTTAATTAATATTTTAAATTTCATTGAATATTTTAAATATTTTTTTGAAAACATTGTAGTTTTGTACTTATGTATCTTTTTCAAAAATCTTGTTATGATGAATATGTAGTTTAGTTTAGTATTTTATTCTATGTAGTACTAAAAAAAACTTGCTATAAAACCCAGTTACTTATACATTCCCTACTAAAACAAAAATTTTACGAAAAAAAAACTATTAATAAAAAAAATAACAAATCATTCCATTCAAATTGCATTTAAAACAAAATTAATTAAGTCTTATAAAAATTTTAACCCTTAAAAATGAAAAAGAAAACTCTTGCTATAGAAATCCTGCCGTTATTTAAAGAAAAAACAATTTTTTATTTATATACTAAATAAAATCTATAAAATAAAATTTTATTTTTTAAAAAACTAAATTCTCTCTAACTACCTTTTAAGAAAGACTTGATTTTTTATTTTTTTTAATGAAAATGTTTAACAATTTTCAAGCTTTTTTTAATTTATGTTTAATTTTTTTATATATAAAGCTTTTTAATTTCTTCCTAAAGTCTGACTATAAAAACTTTAATAATAATAAACTAATGGATAAAAAAAACACAAAACAAGTTCAATTACCCAGATATATATATTTAACATTAATACTTACCATAATAAAAAATTAAAGCAAAATTAAACTGAAAACAAAAAAAAAAAAAAAATAATTATATATCTTAAGAAACCTTAAGACCTACTCCTTGATATCATCTAAAAAATACTAGTGAAAGAATACATGGGATAAAAAGAGAAACAGAAATATGCTTAGAAATTTTAAACAAAATTTAAATTTTATTTAATGTTTTTTAACAAAAAGAGAGTTTTTTATATAATTGAGAAGAGATAAAATATAATTAGTGTTGGATTGAATATCCTCTTTTCAATATAAAATCGTCTGACTGAGTTCTTCTGATACCGCGAGAATAGTGACGCTATACCAGTCAATAGACTAGTCCACACAGTAATAAATAGGCCAGTCCATACTCTAGTCAATAGGCTAGTCTATAGACTAGTTAGTGACTATTTTATAGACTAGCCCATAGTCTACTCCATTGACCAGTCCATATACTAGTCAAGAGCATATTTCAAAGACTATAGACTATAGATCTATAGACTAGTCAATAGACTATTCCTGCCTAGAGACTAGTTCATAGACTAGTATATAGACTAGTCCATAGACAATTATATTGACTAGTTAATATACCAGACCATAGACTAGTCAATAGAATAATCAATGTACTAACCAAGAGACGAGTATATAAGCTAGACCATAGACTGGTCTATTGATTAGTCGAGCCTATAGTATTGCCTATAGTCCAGACTATAGTCTTGTCTATAGTCCAGATTATAGTCTTGTCTATAGTTCAGACTATAGTCTTGTATATAGTCCTGACTATAGTCTTGTCTATGGTCCAGACTATAGTCTTGTCTATAGTTCAGACTATAGTCCTGTTTATAGTCCAGACTATAGTCTTGTTTATAGTCCAGACTATAGTCTTGTCTATAGTCCAGACTATAGTCTTGTCTATAGTCCAGATTATAGTCTTGTCTATAGTCCAGATTATAGTCATGTCTATAATCCAGACTATAGTCTTGTCTATAGTCCGGATTATAGTATTGTATATTGTCCAGAGAATAGTCTTGTCTATAGTCCTGACTATAGTCTTGTCTATGGTCCAGACTGTAGTCTTGTCTATGGTCCAGACTATAGTCTTGTCTATGGTCCAGACTATAGTCTTGTCTCTAGTCGTGTCTATGGTCCAGACTATAGTCTTGTCTACAGTCCAGACTATAGTCTTGTCTATAGTCCATACTATAGTCCTGTTTATAGTCCAGACTATAGTCTTGTTTATAGTCCAGACTATAGTCTTGTCTATAGTCCATACTATAGTCCTGTTTATAGTCCAGACTATAGTCTTGTCTATATTCCAGACTATAGTCTTGTCTATAGTCCAGACTATAGTCTTGTCTATAGTCCAGATTATAGTCATGTCTATAATCCAGACTAAGGTCTTGTCTATAGTCCAGATTATAGTTTCGTCTGTAATCCAGACTATAGCCTTGTCTATAATCCAGATTATAGTCTTGTCTATAGTCCAGACTGTAGTCTTGTCTATAGTCCTGACTATAGTCTTGTCTATGGTCCAGACTATAGTCTTGTCTATGGTCCAGACTATAGTCTTGTCTATAGTCCAGACTATAGTCTTGTCTATGGTCCAGACTATAGTCTTGTCTCTAGTCTTGTCTATGGTCCAGACTATAGTCTTGTCTACAGTCCAGACTATAGTCTTGTCTATAGTCCATACTATAGTCCTGTTTATAGTCCAGACTATAGTCTTGTTTATAGTCCAGACTATAGTCTTGTCTATATTCCAGACTATAGTCTTGTCTATAGTCCAGATTATAGTCATGTCTATAATCCAGACTAAGGTCTTGTCTATAGTCCAGATTATAGTTTCGTCTGTAATCCAGACTATAGCCTTGTCTATAATCCAGACTATAGTTTTGTCTATAGGCCAAATTATATTCTTGTCTATAGTCCAGATTACAGTCTTGTCTATAATCCAGACAATAGTCTTATCTATATTTCATACAATAGTCCTGTCTATAGCCCAGACTATAGTATTGTCTATAGTCCAGATTATAGTCCTGTCTATATAGTCTAGATTATAGTCTTGTCTATATAGTCCAGAGTATAGTCTTGTCTATATAGTCCAGACTATAGCCTTGTCTATAGTCCAGACTATAGCCTTGTCTATAGTCCAGACTATAGCCTTGTCTATAGTCCAGACTATAGCCTTGTCTATAGTCCAGACTATAGACTTGTCTATAGTCCAGACTATAGACTTGTCTATAGTCCAGACTATAGACTTGTCTATAGTCCAGACTATAGACTTGTCTATAGTCCAGACTATAGACTTGTCTATAGTCCAGACTATAGACTTGTCTATAGTCCAGACTATAGACTTGTCTATAGTCCAGACTTTAGACTTGTCTTCAGTCCAGACTTTAGACTTGTCTATAGTACAGACTTTAGACTTGTCTATAGTCCAGACTATAGACTTGTCTATAGCCCAGACTATAGACTTGTCCATAGTCCATAGTATAGCCCGGACTACAGTCTTATCTATAGTCGTCTAGTCTACACAATAGTCTAGATTATTGTCTATTGACCACACTATTTAAAGTTTAATCTATTCACAGTTATATTCTTGAAGTTTTTTGAATTTTGAAACTAGTCCATAGACTAATCCTCAGACTAGACTAGAATAGACTGGTCCATAGACTAGTCAATAGAGACTAAAAATATTATAAGAAATCGTTTCACACTCAATATTCTCAATTATATAAAAAAAAACTCTGAAATCAAATGATTTTAATAATTAAGACCTGTTAAGTTAACGAAATGTTAAGCTTAGGCTTAACCAAAGATTTAATATTGATCATTTTTTCTTTATATATTACAAAATTTAAAATGAAGACGTCATAATTTTAATCAAATATTAAGCTTTAAATTAACGGGTCTAATTTTAAATTTATTTTAAATTTTAATTCAACATAAATGATTTTAAAAGAAATTTCTTAAACTTATTTTCCTTAAAATAAAAATAATAAAACAAAAAAATAATAAACCTAAATTTATTTAAAAATGTGATGTAAGCTTGCGCAATAATTTATTATAAACATAAACAACATACAAAAATATATTATATATTTATTATTCAATTCAATATTTATATTTAATTATTAATATTTATTTATTTAAAATATTTTCGAAAAAAAAAACAAAAACATATTTAAACATAACAATATAAAATGATAAAAACACAAAAATAATTAAAAAAAAACTAAATAAAAAATAATAAAAATAAAAAAAAAATAAATTAAGCAAAATTGAGAAAAATCAATAAAAAAAAAACAAAAATTGCCTCAATATTTATGTAAAATGTAATTTGTAATTTTTATATTTGTTACCTGATCATTTGAAAATTTTATTAACTTTAACTAAATTTAAAAATATGAATACCTAAATATTAACAAAAATAATCTGATATTATTTTGAAAAATCCTTTAACAGAACTAACAATTATTTACTTTTTTAAAATTTATATATTTGGAAACTTAATAAAATATTTTAAAATATATTTTTAGTAAAGAGTTAAAAATTTGATTTTTATAAAAAAAGTCTTATAAAAATATATGAAAGTTTAATATGTTTTAAATTTTAATATTATTTTGATGAAGTTCATTTATAGTCATGTCTAGGTTATAGTATTTTTTATAGCACAAACTATAATATTGTCCATAGTTCAGACTCTAGTATTGTCTATAGTCCAGACTATAGTATTGTCTACAGTCCAGACTATAGTACAGTCTATAGTCCAGAGTATAGTCTTGTCTATAGACCATACTATAGTATTGTCTATAGTCCAGACTATAGTATTGTCTATTGTCCAGACTATAGTATTGTCTATAGTCCAGACTATAGTATTGTTTATAGAACCGACTATAGTATTGTTTATAGAACCGACTATAGTATTGTATATAGTCCAGAGAATAGTCTTGTCTATAGTCCAGACAATAGTCATGCCTATAGTCCAGAGTACAGTCTTGTCTATAGTCCAGACTATAGTATTGTCTATAGTTCAGAGTATACTCTTGTCTATAGTCCAGACTATAGTCTTGTCTATAATCCAGACTATAGTCTTGTCTATAGTCCAGACTATAGTCTTGTCTATAATCCAGACTATAGTCTTTTCTATAATCCAGACTATAGTCTTGTCTATAGTCCAGACTATAGTATTGTCTATAGTCCAGTCTATAGTCCAGACTATAGTATTGTCTATAGTCTTGTCTATAGTCCAGACTATAGTCTTGTCTATAGTCCAGACTATAGTCTTGTCTATAGTCCAGACTATAGTCTTGTCTATAGTCCAGACTATAGTCTTGTCTATAGTCCAGACTATAGTCTTGTCTATAGTCCAGACTATAGTCTTGTCTATAGTCCAGACTATAGTCTTGTCTATAGTGCAGACTATAGTCTTGTATATAGTCCAGACTATAGTCTTGTCTTTAGTCCAGACTATAGTCTTGTCTATAGTCCAGACTATAGTATTGTTTATAGAACCGACTATAGTATTGTATATAGTCCAGAGAATAGTCTTGTCTATAGTCCAGACTATAGTATTGTCTATAGTTCAGAGTATACTCTTGTCTATAGTCCAGACTATAGTCTTGTCTATAATCCAGACTATAGTCTTGTCTATAGTCCAGACTATAGTCTTGTCTATAATCCAGACTATAGTCCAGACTATAGTCTTGTCTATAATCCAGACTATAGTCTTGTCTATAGTAGAGACTATAGTATTGTCTATAGTCCAGTCTATAGTCCAGACTATAGTATTGTCTATAGTCTTGTCTATAGACCAGACTATAGTATTGTCTATAGTCCAGCCTATAGTACTGTCTATAGTCCAGAGTATAGTCATGTCTATAGACCATACTATAGTATTGTCTATAGTCCAGACTATAGTATTGTCTATAGTCTTGTCTATAGACCAGACTATAGTATTGTCTATAGTCCAGCCTATAGTACTGTCTATAGTACTGTCTATAGTCCAGAGTATAGTCATGTCTATAGACCATACTATAGTATTGTCTATAGACCATACTATAGTATTGTCTATAGTCCAGACTATAGTATTGTCTATAGTCCGGGCTATAGTATTGTCTATAGTCCAGACTATAGTATTGTTTATAGAACCGACTATAGTATTGTATATACTCCAGAGTATGGTCTTGTCTATAGTCCAGAGAATATTCTCTTGTCTATAGTCCAGACTATAGTCTTGTCTATAGTTCAGACTATAGTCTTGTCTATAATCCAGACTATAGTCTTGTCTATAGTCCAGACTATAGTCTTGTCTTTAGTCCAGACTATAGTCTTGTCTATAGTCCAGACTATAGTCTTGTCTATAGTCCAGGCTATAGTCTTGTCTATAGTACAGACTATAGTCTTGTCTATAGTACAGACTATAGTCTTGTCTATAGTACAGACTATAGTCTTGTCTATAGTACAGACTATAGAATTTTCTATAATATAGAATATATAGTATTGCCCGGACTACAGTCTTATATATAGTCTAGATTATTGTCCATTGACCAGTCTAATCTATTTTTAATGTATTCACCAGTTATAGTCTTGAAGTTTTGAGAATTTTGAAAATAACTTTTAATTCAGATCATAAAACAAGGGAAGGAAAATTTTCTTCGTTATTCTCGTTTTATTTTTCTTAAAACCACTTTATTTTTTTTAGATTCAGTAAACTATAAATACAAAAATAGTTGTATTAACAAAGAATCATCCTTAATAAAAGGACTATCGATTAAAGCACTATTTGGTATCAAAAAACCGCTATCATGATTATCAAATTCTTGGGAAACCAAATCCGAGGAACGTTTCTTACTCTATGAAGAAAATAATCAAAATTAATATAAAATTTAAATAAAATTTTAAATATAAAAAACTACCTGATCCAATATAGACATTTTATATTTAAAATTGTCACTTTTAATTTCCTTAAATATAGCACCCGTATCTAAAATGATACTATTGCCCGAACCCAATTGAGGCGAAGAAGAGCAATCCTCTAGTTGTAAATAAAGAAAATCGCGGTGTAAATGTTGGAAGAAAGCTTTAATTTTCAATGCTTTGCCTATAATATAATAAACATTTTATTTTTTTAAATATTTTATATAGAACGAAGTCAAAAACCTTACCTCTTATGGAAAATATGGGACTTTCCATACTTAAACTATTGCCAGTTTTAATATTCTGTGTAAAATTCTCCATTCTCCAGTAGTAGGTGTAAACCTTAACATCTTTATTTGTGATAAGAGTATTATTATATTTTTTAGTCTCCTGATCCCTTATAGTGGTAGCCGCCTTATTCTGTTCTTGAGTTGGTAAAGATTTTAATTTGGGTAACTGATAATAATTTTTACTTATTTCATTGGTTTTTTGCTGTTTATTTTCACCATTGGGTATAGGTTGAAATTTAAAGGCTGGAGCTGGTGTTATATTTATAGTATTGCTTACAATACCAGCTGATGTTACGGGTTCTGGGGATCTTTCGCTTAGAGTTTGTTCTTCGTTTATTCCTTTGGTTACAAATTGTCGGTGTAGATCTTGTAGAAGTTTTTGTATATTTTGCATTTCTTGTTGTAATCTTTGCTCTAAATCATGAAATGATTTTAACATTTCTGTAGAACCACATACACCTTTTAGTTCTCGGGTTGTGAAGGCCTCTGCACTGGCCCGTACATCGCCGGAGGTTACTGTACATACCGCCTTTTGAACTTCACTGGGTTTTAGTTCTTCGTTCGTGGCTTGTGAGAAACCTAGGGCATAATAGAGGTTATATAGGTTAAAATTTAGACTACTTATATTTAGGGTCCAATTCAGAAACTCGTTTTGGAAATTTATTTTTTTATTTTTTTTTTTACGAAATAACTTTACCCGCTGGTATTTGTGTTTCTGGTGGATTTCTTGTTTCCGTTATCTCTTGTATTGGTCGGGCCTCAGTTTTACTATGAGTTATCAGATATATTAAACAGATTGTTAAATGTATTTTAAAATTCGCCATTGTTCTTAATACTTTATCTAGATCTTTTTGGAGAAAAGTTTATTTCTACTACATGTTACGTATCTAGAAATAAAAGATCTAATAACAATCTGTTATACTTCTACCGTTCACAAGATACAGATCTCTTAGGATATAAACCGATCTTGAAAGACTAAACCCTAAAATTTTCTATCTGTTATATTTTCAAGAACTATGGCAAAAATTGGAACAGGTCCCTTATTGTTTAAGTTTTAGGAGGCGATGAGAATATTTCCGACATTGGAAATCGTTGGTCTATTTTAAAGATTTTGTAACAAATCTGTACCACTCGATATATAAATTTGATATTTTTCTTTGTTATATTTTAAAACTTTTTTTTCAATACAATTTCGAAACATTTAAATTTAATATTTTATTTTTACTCGCACAGTATTGAAATTCAATTAAAAATTTAGAAACATTTTTGAAATATTTGAAATTAGTTTTAAAATATTAATTAAATATTCGTCTATTTAAATTTTTTATTATAAATTTTCACTTGATTTCGAAATTTTTCAAATAATTTGAAAATTGTTATAAAATATTAGCTTTATAATTATTTTAAATATTATTTTATTAACACTTTTATTTAAATTATGTTTTTTTACTGAATTTCGAAATTTTAGAATAAATTTCAAGATTTATTTAAATTTTCAATATTTTTACGCACACGGAGTATATTCTTTTCAAAACTTTCGCACTACACGTGGTCCACACAACTAACTGATGGATTTATTATTTAGTGTGTTTTATCGTTTTTAATAAATCACAACTTTTTTTGTGTAAAAAACACATAAATAATGATTCTCTTTTTCGTGTGTTTTCCTTCATGCTAGACGCCATGAATTTGTTGTTTTTTTTTTTGTAAATTTTATTTTTGGTGAATATTAAATAAAAATAGATTAACGAAAGTGTTATACGATTGTTGTTTTCGTTCTTTACGTTGACATAAATTTTGTTTATTTTCTAGCAAACGATTTCAATACGTTTTTTGTCTGAATGTTTTGAACGCATTGCATGTTTTCTACCATATGTGAACATTTTGCATTTCCGTTATTGGTTTTCAGTTGTTGTGTCTGAGATTGTGGAAAAGGAAGGAGTATAAATGTATGGGTACAGTGGGTGTTAATATTTGAATGAAATTTGGAATTGAAATTATGAATAAATTTCGTATAACTAGTTAATACTATGTAAATTTTAGGTTAAGATTTCTTAAAGCAGTAAGACTATATAACAAAGGTTAAGACTTTATATGAAAGTAGTGAGATTTAACTTTCAGATGATATAACAGATTTTATAAATAAATGTTTCTTCAAGCTATTCTAAAGTCTTAAAAATATGACTAAAAAAAGGAGGTTTTCAAACTTTAGGACACTATAACTCAAAAACTTGATGTGATTAAGAAATTCTGAGATCAAATTCGGATTCAGCGTATCTTCTTTACATAAGTACACTGATCTTTGGTTTAAAAATCGATGACCTGTTTTATTAATTTAAAGTTTTTTCATATTAAACTTTCATTTATTTTTCTAAAATTTTGAATATTTTATTTATTTGGTAAAAAATAGCTTGGGACTTAAATGGTATAACAAAAACAATTATGATATTAATAAAAAAATTATATAAAATAATGTAAAGAAATTCTTAAAATAAAGAAAAAAATACAAATCTAATAAAAATTTCTGAAAAAAAAGTTTAATAAAATTTGATTTTAATTGGAAATTGAAAGCATTTTTTTTAAATTAAAGTAAGTATCTAAATTTAAACTTCTTGAACTCGCGAATTCCATTCTTAATTCCTATTAGTCGTAAAAATTTACGAAATTTTTAAACAGCTCTCACATTTAAACCTAATTTGTTTGTTGGGTTACTTAAAAACACTTTTGGAAAATTATTGCTTATTTAGAAAAGGAAGACTCCTTATTATTTTATTATTTCATACTCACCTCTTTATCAACTTCCAATAAATTCATCATTTCCAATTTTTTTCAAACATTGAACACTTTTTTTAAAGTTAATTTTTATTATTAATTTCAAATTTTTTTAAGAGTAAATTAAGAATAAATTTTATGCATACAATTACATATATATTAACTAACTAATTTTAATTAAAAATAATTCAAAAAGTAATTGTATTAATAGCATGTTATGTTTTATCTTTAAAAACTAATGGATTTTTAATTTCTAAAAAAATTGGATTTCTTTAAATTTGTGTATTACTAATTTTTCAAAATTAACAGTACAGTACATGACAATATAATGGGAATAATTAATATTTATGTTCAATTAACATATAAAATTTTTAACTTGAAACACTTGGCAACTAACTCTGTTATAACAAATTTTGGTGTTTAGTTTAGCCTTTCTATTTATTAGCTGTTTTTAGATTATTTTCAACATTTCAGCTTTAAAACTTATACAGAAAACGAATACTAGTTCAACCATTTTCCTCGTTTTATAATAAAACTTGCAAGGTGGCAACTCTGGTAAAATATATTGCCTATAAAATCATTCAATATTATAGCCATACAAATTTGATCGACTTTAATAAACATATATATATATTTGTACTTTTATTCACTTTTAAAAAGAAGGCAACTCTGTAAAACTAAATTTTTAGAATCCTAATTATATTGCCTTCTCATCGAAAGAAAGTTTTTCGAAATTTGTTTAGTAATTTTTGTGTTATGAAAGTATACATCCGTTGCGCTTATTTTTACAACAATTTTAATAAGGTGGCAACTCTGGCAAAATAAATTTTTATAATCTTAAATATATTCTCCACAAGTCCATGCAAAATTCAACGAAATACTTTAAGCAGTTTTTGAGTTACATCGTTCTAAAAACTAATTGTATATTTTCTGCATTTTTAGCAAGCTGGCAACTCTAGCTAAATAAATTTTCAGAATCTTTAATATGTCCCCTAATAGGCCTCATCCAAATTAGTTCAATAGTTTTTGAGTTATAAACTTCTGAAATTAGGAATTAGTTGCAAACAATTTTTCATCACTTATAGTAAGGTGGCAACTCTGGCAAAATACATTTTTAAATTCTTCAATATGTTTCCTATAATGCTATACCAAGTTATTACAAATCGGTTCAATAGTTTTTGTGTTATATCCTTGTGAAAATAGGTATCTGTTGTCTGTCTTAAATAAATGACAATTTAAATAATCTGGCAACTCTTATGAAATCATTTTTCATAGATCGATTGATCGAAGTTAATACCTCGAATAAATCTATTTAATTTTATTTCAATCTCTGAAGTTCCTTCGAATTTAAACTAATCGTAATCAAAGTGTTCTAAAATATGGAAAATCTGCCAACACTGGAAAGTCTGGCAATACTGGACACTTATATTTTCAATAAATCAATTAGTAATCTAGCTTAAGATTACAGCTTTCGTTTGACTTTAATTTCATTAAAATCAATTAAGTACTTTTAGAGTAAAAACTATTTTAAGCAACTTAAATAACAAAGTCATATTTGCGCAAATTCGGCAACCCTGGTAAAATAATTTTTAACAAAACCAATAGCTTAAATTGCAACCTAACGATTGCCGCCACTTTTACTTTATTCTATGAAGTAATAAATGAGTTATAGTAATTTTAAAAATCCCTTAAATCGACCAATTTTCCAAGACACGACAACCCTGTTTATATATCGTTACAGCGCCATCTATGGATGGGGTACATGGTTTTTCTGCAATACAAAAACAGATGCCTATTTTCAAACGGTTATAACTTAAAAACTATTGAACCAATTTCAACAAACCTTATGTGGTCTTGTAGGGGACATATTGAAGATTTAGAAAATTTATTTAGCCAGAGTTGCCACCTTGTTTAAAGTGACAAAAACCCAATTGTTAAGTTCACAATGTTATAATACAAAAACTGCTAAATTGATTTTTAAGAAGTTCGCATAGTTTTGTAGGGGACATACTGAAAAATTAAAAAAATATTTTGTCAGTGTTGCCATCATATTACAAATGGTAATAAAACTAAGTACAACAGAAAAAACATAATAATACAAAAACTATTTAACCGATTTAACCTAGATTCAAAAAAATTATTTTGCAAGAGTTGCCAGCTTGTCGAAAATGGTAAGAACTAAGTATAACAGAAGAAAACGCTGTAACACAAAAACTATTTAACCGATTTCAATAAACTTTCTATGGATTTGTAGTGGCTATATTCCAGATTTAAAAAATGTATTTTCCCAGGGTTGCCACCTTGATAAGAGTCTAAAAAAGGAGTATTACAAAGAAAACGTTCTAATACAAAAACTACTGAACCAATTTAATTGATCATTACACAGACTTGTAGGTAGTACATTCAAGATTTTGAAATTTTATTTTACCAGTGTTGCCAGCTTGTCGAAAATAGCAAGAACTAAGTACAACAGAAAAAACGTTATAATTCAAAACCTACTGAACCAATTTTACTTAACTTTAAATGGACATGTAGAAAATATATAACAGATTTTGAAATTTTATTTTGACAGTGTTGCCAGCTGGTAAAAACAAGACGAAAACTAAGTAATACAGAAAAACATCATAACACAATAATTACTATACCGATTTTGTTCAAGTTGATATTATTGTGTTGAGAATAAATTGAATATTAAAAAAATATAATTTGCCGGAGTTGCCATTGTGTTACTATTTGCTGATTGAGGAAAATTAGTAATTTTTAATTACTATTTATTCAAAACAGGGAAAAATGCAATAAATATTTAGAAAATTACTTGTTTCAGACTAAACACTGTAATTTAGATTACCAGAGTTGCCATGTAGTTAATATTTATATATTTTTAGTGATTATTATGAAATTTCTTAACTTTTGCAAGTGAAAAAAAGGTAATGCTTATTTAAGAATAATAATTTTCTTTGGATTTTTATACTCTTTTTTTACACAATTAACGAAACTAAGGAATACCTCCATTATGTTGTCATTTTGAAAAAAAATTTAAATAAAAATAGTTTTAAATGAATTTACACTGTCTTAATTTATTAGCTAACTCTACAACACAAATTTTGAGAGATCTAGGACCGTTTTAAATTTAATTATAAAGAAAAAACTGAAATTATTTGTATTTTTTACTAAAATACCTTCAGT